GGTGAAGCAGGTGCAGATGCAGTGCCTTGCGGAGGAGGGCGGCGCTTGAGCTGATGGCCTTCGAGAAGTGCATCAATGAGTCGGGCCTCGTCGTGAAGTGGCGTCACTCAGAGGCCAAGCTGGCGGACGGCCTTGCCAGGGCGGCGGCGTTCGGGCCCGTCGAGCTGCGCATGGAGACGTGGAGCTGGGCGCTAGTCGAGGACGACGATCAGCTGGGCGCCAGGGGGCGCAAGGAACGGGGCTTAGGCCGATTGGGGCTGCGGCGATATTCACAGAGGCTGCGCGTTCGCTATGCCTGGTGCCGAAGTCGTGGCGCGAGAGCGTGGGCGCGCTGATGGAGCAGCTCAGCGGCCAACGATGCGCGTCGGATCCAAGCGCGTGGGTCTTCAGCGACAAGAAGGGTAGGGTCCGCGGCTTGGTCGGCACCCACGTGGGGGACTTCCTGACCGCTGGGGGGGAGGCCGAAGTTGGCGCGACATATAGATGGACGTGCGAGGCGTTTTCACGTGCACGCCCATGGTGGGAAGCCGTTGCAAGCAAGCGGGCTCTCAGCCAGGGCGCGGTGCGTCAGATCGCCTGTCACCAGAAGGTCTTTATTGACATCGTCGCGGGGGTCGACATCCCGACGGAGCGGCGGCAGCAGACGGACCATGCTTGGAACGGTCGCGAGATGGCGAAGTTGCACGGGGCCCTCGGCGAGACCTGGTGGGTGGCGACGCGGGCCGCGCCCGGGTGCCAGGCGCAGTGCTCAGTCGAGCAGCGGGCCGACGGCGACGGTCGGGGAGCTCTTCGGGATCAATATGCTGAGCAGGCAGATGACGGCGGACCCCAGTTATCAGTCTAAGTTCGAGCCATTCGACGGGGAAGCAGTCGTAGTCGGCTGGGGCGACGCGGCATGGGCGAACAGACCGAACGGGCTGTCGACTGGCGGGTGCGTCATCGGGATCGCGCCAAAGGAGATCCTGGAAGGAAAACGCTCACCAATGGGCTGGGTGCCACATCGGAGTTGCAAGCTCCAATGAGTGGCCAGAAGCTCTCTTGTGGCTGAAGTGCAGGCGCTGACGGTAGCCGAGGATGAGCTTTCCATGATCAGAATGCCGTGGGGCGAGCTGAGCGTTTTCCGATGCGGTTTAGGGCGCAGCAAGCGCTAGGCGCGAGTCGAAGCCGATGCTCGATGGATTGAAGGAGATCACGGCCTGCCTCTGCGTGACGCTAAGAGCATCTACGACTCCTTGGTGAAGCAGGTGCAGATGAAGTGCCTTGCGGAGGAGGGCGGCGCTTGAGCTGATGGCCTTCGAGAAGTGCATCAATGAGTCGGGCCTCGTCGTGAAGTGGCGTCACTCAGAGGCCAAGCTGGCGGACGGCCTTGCCAGGGCGGCGGCGTTCGGACCCGTCGGGCTGCGCATGGAGACGTGGAGCTGGGCGCTAGTCGAGGATGATGAGCAGCTGGGCGCCAGGGGGCGGAAGGAACGGGGCTTAGGCCGATTCGGAAACATCCGTGACTTCGCCGGACTCATCAAGGTGGTGTTCGAGAACAGCGGCATATCGTTACCAGACGTGGCGGACGGTGGCGAGTCAGAGTCCGAGGAGTTGCGGGTCGAGCTACGGGCGCGATGATGCGGCAGCGGGCGTTGCGACGAGGGGCGTGACATGGTGCGTGAACAGTTGTTCCTGTCGGTCGTATGCTCTGTTCTCAACGGCGATTGGCTGACGCAAGATGCCGCCGACGGCGTAAGCCACAGGCGTGACGCGCAATTTTGGCAGCGATGTTTGTTTGTTCTTCTTGAAACCCGAGAGCCCGTGCGGACTTCCAGGAACAAGCATCTCTTGGGATGAAAACCCGACTGAGCATCGTGCTTCTTTGGCGAACCGTTCTCCGTTTAAATTGCCGCTGTCCGTACATTGTGGCTCCACGGGCCAGCGGAGCCGCCTAATGGGCGGTGCCCTGACCTGTCGAGCTCCAGAGGGGTCGCAAGTGAACCAGATATAAACAATTATTTAATCGTTTCGCTCATTCCGCCGGCCCTGGAGCCCTCTTTAGGGCCTCTTGGGGACCTCTTGGGAGTCTCTTGGGGCTCCTTGGCGCCGTCTTGGGGGACCCCAGGGCCTCTTGGGGGGCTCTTGGGGGCCTCTTGGGGCGGGAGGGGGGGTAGTCGATTGCGGCTCCCCCCTTGGAGGCCACGATCCTCGTGAGGGGTGTCGAAAAATTGCCCGGTCCGGCATCTCTGAACCGAGTCTGCCGGGACCCTGCCGGGGTATTTTTCGCCCGGGGACCCCCAGGGGCGGCCCCGCGCGCGCGAACTAGAATATTGTTAACCAGTTACCGGAGATCTTAGCACGCCTCTGGCCCGTTGGGCCGGCGAATTTACGAGAGAGAAGGTAACATTTCATTCCTTTCGTGGCTCTCTGGAGACGTGCTGTGCGTGCTAGCAGTGGCGAGGAGTGGCAGATTTAGCCTCGCCCGTGGCGCAGGGAGAATAAAGGACAATCGATCCACGGAACCCGAACTCATATTGACATCGCATCGAAATCAGTGTGGGCACGCCTGTCGGCGAACTTGCAGGGGAGGGGAGGGATGCGGGGGAGGGAGGGAGGGCAGAGCCCCGGGGGAGAGGGCGGGGAGGGCAGGGGTCGGGAAGTGGAGGGGTGGGATTGTGGACAGGGGGGGGGACGGAAGGAAGGGGAGGGGAGGCGGAAGGCGAAAGGGGCCAAGGAGAGGGGAGGGGAGGCAAGGCGGGGCCAGGGGTCGGCGGTCGAGTTCCGAGGCGACCAGCGGCATCAACGGCGCGCTCACCAAGACGCAGCGCGCGCACAAGATCGGTGACAGCCCAGAGATCTTCCAGGAGGACCACGGATTGCGCTCCTCGTCCTTCCTACTTGTTAGCTCTCTACGTTTCCCTGCTGCCCCCCCATCCCTGCTGCCTCCTCTCCTCCTGCCTCCTCCCTCATCTCCCCTTTCTCGTCCCTCTTCCATCCATTCATCCTCCCTCCTTCCCCTCCATCCTTCTCGTCCTCCTTCCCTCTCTTCGTCCCGCCCATGTCCCTACCTGCTTTCTCCCTCCGTTGTCGTCTTCGCCCCCCCCCCCTCGCAGAGGAATCGTATTGACTGGAGTCCGACTCCTGCCCCCGACGCGTCTCCTGAGGGCTCCGGCCCCCCCGCGCCGCCATATGAGGGCCGGTCCCGCCGGACCGAACTCGCGCGCTCGCCTCGCCTCGCCTCGCGACCCCTGCTGACGTCGACGCACAGAACCACACGGGCGCCGACGCGCACCTCGAGCCCTGCAGGCTCCGAGCGGTGCCTGCTGCAGGCGACCCGGGGCTGCCCTGGGCAGGCGCGCCCGGGCTGGCGCGTGCCACGCTCGGCGGGGGCGGGTAGCAGGAGCGGGGGCGGAGCAGAAGCGCGGCACGTCGGCCCCTCCTCGCGGCGGGCGGGCGGCAGCGCTCCCTGGGCGGGCCCCGTGGCCGAGCTGCGGCGAGCGAGGAGGGCGGGCGCCCCGTGCGGGCCCAGCGGGCCAGGCGGGCGGGGGCGCGGGCGAAGCACGCTCGGCCTGGGCGAGCCTCGGAGGAGGAGGAAGACTCGAAGCCGTGCCCCCAAGGCACACGCATGTCCGTTGACGGCGAGTGCTGCTACCTGTGCAGCGTGGCGCTGTAGATGCAGCCCGAGCTGTTTGTTCAGGAGACGGGACGGTCAGCCCGCGGGCGTGGTGTCGAACCCACTTGCCCACCCAGCTGCTCCCGCCCACTGCTTGCCCACCCACTGCTCCCGCCCCCCCGTTTTCCTCCTGCTCTGACTCTTGCACTGCCTATCGTAAGACTGTGGCCTCTTGGGCCAGTCCCCAGATCCTCCAAGACAACCCCAAGAGCCCCCAAGATGGCTCCAGCCGGTACCACTGGGACCATGGTGGGGCATGTTGCAGGGCGAGGCCTCCAACCACGCTCCCGAGGCCTCTGGAAATGTCAGGACTCTCAGGGACCTCAGAACACTCTACTCGGTGCCAGCGCCACGGTTGCGGGTCGTCCAAACTGGTCTGGCTCCCGCCTCCATGATCGTCGACGTGCTTGGTGCACGAGCCAGTCTGCCTTCGCAGGACAGGCTGCAGGAAACGGCCCACCTCCATGGGGGACGCAACCGCCTCGTCATTCCTGCTTCCCCCCCTTCCTCCTGTTCCTCCCTCCCTCCCTCCTCGTTCCTCCTCCCTCTCCCCTCCTCCCTCCCGCCCTCCCTCCCTCCTCCCTCCTCTTCCTCGTCATCCTCGTCCCCCCTTCCCCCCCGCTCCCCGGCGCAAGGGCCTCCTGGACCCCCCCCGCGGGCGCCCGCAGGACTGCATGAGGGGCGCCGCGCTCAGCCTGGCCCTGGGCCAGGGATCGGGGTCCAGTCGCGGACCGCCGGCTGAGCAGACCCCCCCCTCGCTTCCACCATGCTCCGCTCCTGCCTCCAGGCCCCCCCTCTCTTCTCCCCTTCCTCCCCCCCTTTCTCTCCTTCTCCCTCCTCGTCCACCCCTTCTGTCACCCTTGCCTTCCTCCCCTCGCCTTCCCTCTTCGCCCCCCTCTCCCCGTTCCTCTGGTCCTTCCCATGCCGTCCCTCCTCCCTCCCCGTCCGCGTGCCCCCTCCCGCAGCCCTCCATTTTCCTCCTGCCCTTCTCCTCGTCCTCCTGCTCCTCCTCCCCTCCTCCCCTGCAGACCCAATACTGCGTGAGGGGTCTGAATGCGATGATAACCGCGAGGTTGTTATTGTCAGGAATGACGTAAAAGTATCTGCGAAGATATCAGCAATGATAGGCGATTGATGTTGCTTAGCGGCACCTGCGAGGTGTCTACCGATACGCCCAAGCTCAAGGGCCCTTAAAGGATTGAGCCCAAATAGTTACGAAAGAGCATATGCTTGCTGGCATGCTATGCTACACTGCTTACAGATCAGCACTGACACTATTGCAAAATTCTTCTGATCTGTGCATCTGCCGATATAGCGCATTTAGACGTGGTGATGGCACGTCAACGAGCTAAAATGAAACCAGGCGCACTGCGCGCTTGAAAAGTGAGCCGGCACTGGTCAGGTGTGCCTCGTGCTCTCTGGCCTGGTCCGTCGGCTCTTGATGCTGCAAAGCGAGACGTGTGTCTCGCAGCACTGCCCTGATGGCACTGCCGTCCGATCGCTTGGTGAACTGATCACCGAGCTGCTGGTCAGTCGGAACCCAAAAGAGGGGTAGTTGGCCGCGCTGATCGTCAGCGACAAACTCGTTGCTAACTTCCTCTTCTAGTGACTCCTTGAGGCCCACTAGGTCGAGCAAAAGGCGCCGCTCTGACGGGAGCTTGGAATAACCGTCTTTGTGCATCGTATCGTACAAGCTGGCGCAATCTGTGACCTGAACGAGCGGCAACAGACTCGGCGGGATGTCCTCTGGATGGGCATCCGGAATCTCTAGCGAAGCGAAAACACAGCGCGTAATCTGAGCACAGCCTAGATCGTCTACTGCCGACATCGTTTCGGCTGCCAACGTCGATCTGCGAACTCTCTTGATGGTGCCCGATCTCCAATCAACAATTCCTGCTCGAGCTCGATCTCCGCGTAGTAGCTTGGCTTCTGCGAGAAAACTCACGTAGCCAGCCTGCGAGCGAATCGTGATATTCTTGTCCTTACTGGTTGCCCCCACGGTCTTGGCGAGCAACTTGGAGATGGCGCCTTCAGCTGGCTCGTCAGCGTTGGCCCAACTGGCGTCGTGGTACGTCACCAGGCACAGAGGTCCACGTAACTTAGGGAACTCCAAACCCACGTCCGCGTGCTTCCGCGCCAACTTGATGAGCCTGTTCGTCTCGAGCAAGTCCTGGATGGTGGGCTTGTTCTGGGTCCGCTGCCCCATGGCCACTCCAGCTGCCAGGTCGGGACGAGTCTGCGATGAAAGCCACCCGAGCGCTCCGAGTGCGGAACGGTTGTCCGAGAACTCGCCTGGCGTAGCATCTGACGACAGGTCCGTCTTGCGCTCCTTGCTGAGCGGAATCTCCTCGATGGTGTTCGCGTCTTCGGTCTGTCGTAGATGTAGTACTTCCTCTTGATCTCGCCAGGCCTGCTTGCCGCAGAAGGTAAAAGGCAAGCCTCGCCAGTCGCCCCAGGGCAAAAGCGTGTGAAGCCTGTCGTAGAGGCCCGGGTACTTGTGCGAGATCCCCAGCAACAAGTCGTCCACGTGGGCGACCACCACCGCACAGAGCTCACCGTGCTGGTCGTAGCCGTAGTACAGCGCTGGGTCTAGCGAGTGCTGGTGTAGGCGAAACACGTAGTTGTTGCTCAGCTTCTCCTCCACCGCCAGCAATGTCCTCTTGAGCTTCGCCCACCATTGTCTCGGTGCCGTGGCCAGCCCGAAAACTCCCTTGAGGATTTTGATCAGCTGCTTCGGGTTCAGCCCAGGCAAACCTTCGCGAGGCTGGGCCATGTAAAGCTGCTGGTCGGGCTGCTCGTCGCCTTGCATGAAAGCCGCCTCCTCGTCCGCCGCGTAGATCTCCAGGTCGAACCTCTGGCAGATGGTGAAGAACAGCATGGTCGAGTTGCGGGTGACCGTGGGCGCGTCCGTCCGCAGGTCGCCCTGAGCGAGGCGCGGGTCCATGTGACCCCCGACGCAGAGTCGGGCCTTTGCCTTGACCGGCAGCGGATGCTTGTCGGTCCGCAGCGGGGCGTTCTTGTCCCGGTACACGAACCGGCTGGGCAGGATGAGGCTGGGCTTGATCATGCCCCTGATCGCCTCGGACTCCTCGATGGAGAGTGCCTGACAAGAGCCATACTTCTGCCACTCGCTCCACTGCTTGGCGGCCGCCTCCCTGAAGAGCTCCCGATCAGAGTCCTTGATGGCCCTCCAGTGGATCTCCTTGTCGGCTTGCTTGCGCTTGATCCTCTCGGTCACGATGGAGGTTTGCAATACTTGTCTTGGAGCCGACCTTGAACGTTGGCGGGCTCCTCCTGCTTCGGGTCCGGCCGCTGCCTCCTGATCGGGGGCCGCCGCGCGGTCCCGCGAAGTTGCCCTTGCGGGCAGGGCGCCAGAGCCTGCGTGCTCCTTCTCGGTCTGGAGTCGCTTGAAGGCCGGGCCGAAGTCGCCGCTGTCCCCTCCGTCGAAGGTAGCTCGACGTCGTCGGAACTCGTCAGGGCCGTAGGTTCGCTCTTCTTCAGCTTGTTGCGGCACGTCGGCGGGCAGCACCTGGATCTGCTCCTGCTGGGGCGGATCCTCGGAGACGTTCAGCCCGAGGTCGCTGTCGTCCGGGTTGTCGATGAATTCCCGCCACGCCTGCTCCATCTCGTCTGGCTTGACCTCGGGCTCGCCAGGCGCCGGGCGGATGTCCTCCACCTGAGCCTCTTCTTGTTCGAGCGAGTCGCGAGCCCGGTTGAGCTCGGCCACGGCCTGACCGATCTCGTCCCTGCCGTTCGGGAACCAGAAGTCGTCCGGAGCGAGTGCCTTGATGTGCTCTGGGGCCACCAGCATGGTGTGCCCTCCTAGCGAGACCCAGGTGTTCTCGCCTTGGTGGCCGATGACTACGCACGGCCCCCGCCAGATGCCCTTCTTGGCGTTGCGGTTGTGCTGCTCCCGCTGCTCCTTCTTGACCTGGCGAAAAACGTAGCACATCTCGCCCACTGACAAGGGCGTCGCCACCGTGCGCGCGCGAGCCAGCATAGCTCGCCGGAGCTGGTCATCGTTCTGCATCCTCATGAATGACTCGCGCGCCGCCGTCCGAATGGCATATCGGCGGCGAATCTTCTCGTCGTTGGCCGCGCGGCTGTGGGCGCTGTAGTTGGCCGTGTCGTCGACTAGGTCTCCAGGCATCTTGGGGTCGCGTCCCAGCACCCATTGCGCGGGGCTTCTCGCCTTCTCAGCGAGTTCTTCGCGCCCGATACCATGATGGCCAGCGTCCGCATCTCGTCCTCGCCCCTGATCGACGAGTGCTCGATCGTCCTCGCCGCGAGCTGCTTCCACCAAGCTCCCTGGCGTTCCACGCGACCGAGCTGCCAATGTGCCTGGCCAGCGATGGGCAGCTGCACCGTGTTGAATGACTGGAACAGCTCGCTGAGGGCGCCGCCGAACCCCTTCTCCATGTCGAAGTGAACTCGGTCGGGTACGCCCGCCCAGGAGGCCCAGCACCTCTCGAACGCGGCAGCGAACTCCTGGCTAGTGTGGCGATCGATCAGCGTCGCGACATGGAAGGTGGTGGCCAGGTCGACGATGCTGAAGTACCAGTAGCTCTTGCCGTCGACGTCCTTGAGCTCGAAGCAGTCGAAGCCGACGTCGTCTCCAAAATCTTGCACGAAGTGGAGGTGCGCTGGTCTCCTCGCGCTCGGGCGCTGCTGCGAGCGGCGCGCCCCGCAGATCAGCCCCTTGACGGCCTAGACGGTGGCCGACTTAGCGCCTTTGAGTCGCAAGTTGCGGCCCAAATCTTCATTAGGCGGATGGCCCAAGTTGACATGGGGTCTCTTGAGCATGGCCAGCTCGGCTGGCTTGCAGCAGGCCGCTGCTTTCTTTATGAAAATAATTGCGCCGACCCCGATCCTGCCGTCCACAGTATCTTCGGCCCGCACGTCGTGAGTGTCGGCGAAGTCGTCTCCGCCGCCCATGGGGTCTGGGTCCCCATCAGGCTCGCCCGTCTCTCCCAGGGGCGCGGTGTCGTTTACGTAGGCGGTGGCCTGCTCCCTGGGCACTGTCACGATGAAGGGCGACGAGTGCGACTGGCAGTCCACCTGGTAGGCGCGATGCCCTCCTTGCTGGCGAATCACCTGCTCCACAATGCGCGCCGCCGCTCTGCAGAACTTAGCGGGATAAACTCCAGACCTGCGCACCGCCACGTTGTCCCCAAAGGTCTGGTCGTGGTGCTTGTGGCTGCAGGCGCGCTTCAGCTGCTCGAACTCCTTGTGGGTAACGAGCAGCTTCGTGGGGTGCTTGATGAGCCCCCCCGTCTTGTAGTGTAGAGCTCCGTACTCGCACATGTCGCACCTCACCTGGTGCACGCGCTCGTCTGCCAGTAGCTCCAAAATCGCGCGCTGTGTCCAGAGCCGGCTGGTGGCCGGGTTCTCGATCATGGCCATGTCGCCAGAGTCGAGCTGGTACTTGAAGAGGTCGCGGGCCAATAAAAGGAGCGGCCGCTCCGTCCTCCAGATCCGTCGGAGCGCCTGCCTGGCCTGCGGCGTCCGAAAGTTGAGGTGCGTGATGTTCGTGTAGTGGGTGCAGGGTAGCTCGATTGACACGAACTTCGGCCTTGAGGCGTAGTGCAGGTCGTACGTCGCGTCGAGGTCCTTCTGCTTGCGTAAATCCCATCCGTATTTGCGGTCGATCACCTCTGTGGCCGTCATCCGGCGCTTCCGCGCCGCCTCGGTGATGCCGCTTTCGCCTCCGAACACCTGCATGACGTCCACGCGGTGGCTGCGAACGCTGTAGGCCTCCTTGACGTCCTGAACGTGGTCGACCACGTCTCGCGCAGCACTGGTAGCATGCTGCACCACGGGCTTGAGAGGTCCAGCCAGCCAGTCCGCGGTGAGCACCGTCTGAAAGGCGAAGGCGCTCAGCAAGCCCGTGACCTGGTAGAGGAGGCCGACGCGCTTGCCCTTCTTGATGCCTGACCGCCGCCTCGGGGCTGGCGACCCGTCCTGGCGGCCACCGCCGCCTAGTCCCTGCTCTGCTGAGGTTCCCGGGGGCCGCTCGGGCGATCCTCCTTGTCGGTCTCGCCCGCCTTCTCGAAGCCCATGTCGCTGGTGTCCATCTCGTGTGGCTCCGGAGGTCGCTGGTGCCGATGCCCGGCCCAGCTCCCCTGGCTTCCTGAGGCCCTCGTAGTCGTCGCCACTGGCGCCACCCATTCGTCGTCCAGCACCACCTCCTCGGCCATCACTGCCTCCAAGGTGGTCTTGGCCTTCTCCGGGGGAAGGGGCTGCACTCCGTGCGCCTTTACCACCTGGCAAACCGCGCCAGGAGTTGGCTTGCCCGATTGTTGTTGAGCTCCAGGACCGCCCACTGCGCGTAGCCCAGGTCGTTCTTGAGCACCCGGCGGTAGTCCGCCGTGGGGTACTTGCCAAAGCGCATCTTGTCGGCCCCGGTGATCTGTAAGCTCGGATGAGCCACCGTCGCCGCGGCACTGCTGACCGCGTCCTCGACCTTCCAGCCCATGAGGCGCTGCCTGAGCTCCGGCACGGGCGTGCGCTGGTCGAACTCGACCTGGCGGTCCCGACGCAGCTGCTGGAGCTCCTCCTTGTTCTTCTTGCCGAGCCCCGGGATGTAGTCGTCCTGCGGCGTGCTCTCGCGGCCCTCGGCCCTCAGCGCACGCAAGATCACCCGGAGCTGGTCGCACGTGGCGTCCAGCACATCCAAGTCGTAGCTTGCCACCTCGGCCTGCAGCTCCGGCATCCGCATGCTGGATATCGCCGGAAGACGGGCAGTACTCGTCGTCGGCAAGTTCTGGCCGCTGCCCCCCGGGCTCGTCGCCTTGGGAGATGTCGTACATCGCTGGTGCGACGGGGGCATAAGCGCCGGCCGCTGGTTCGTGAAAAGCTGCGGTGGCTGGATCTGCCACGGCGCGCGTCGTACTCGCTGGTGGAGCCACAGTTGAACTCGAGCCGGATGGCTGCGGTGATGATGTAGCTTGATGACTGCGTGCTGATGGCTGATCTCGTGGCTCGCTACGGCTTGCTTGCTGTTGAAATCGAACATGCCGTGACTGAGTATCGCTGCGAGGTTTAGCTCCCCGTTCGTCATGATCGTGGTTTGTCTGCATAATCTGTGCTGTGCTGACTGACCTAGTACGCACTCCCCAGGCCTCGTCTTCCGATCCCGATGACGATTGACGTGATGGAATGTATGCGCTCATGGCCTGGCGCACCTGCTGCTCGAACAGTTCGGCGCTATCGCGCGCATTGCAGTCAGTATCCGACGGAGACTCGTCGGCCTCCGAGGCAATTCCTGGGTGGCGAGCCTCGGGCACCACCGGCTTGGCGGCGCTGGCCACAGCTGTCTCAGCATGGTAAGAAGCGCAAGGATGAAGACGAATCTCGGCTTTGGTATCCGAGACGCCCAAAACGGGCTTATAGTTCGGCGTGAAGCCTGTGATGTCCAGCGTCGGGTGTCCGGCGCGGCTCAGGCCCATCTGGATGTTGTGCTCGTCGATCGACTTGATGTCCAGCTTGTTGTCTCCGGCGTGGTAGAATGTGTCCAGCTCGCTCTGGGCCTTGCGGCTGAACAGTCCCGGCACGGCGCTGCGCACGATGCTCATGCGGACGGTGAAGGCCTTGCCGTTCACCGAACAGGGGATCAGCGCCGCCTTGAGGCTAAACACCACCTTCGACGCCCCGAACCGGAACGGCTCCTTCTCGGGGTACTCGATGGGCTGGATGTTGAAGGCGGCCAGCCTCTTCTTGATGTCGTTGTACCAGTCGAGGCCGCCGACGCACCGAGTGCAGGCCGCGTCGAAGATCAGCTTGGCCCCCGGCTCCTTCAGCAGGTCCTCGACGCTGAGGTAGATCAGCGCCGAGCTCGTCGCGGCCATCAGGCACTGGTGGTCCTTATTGATGAAGAACGCCGCCGCCGTAACTTCTTCGGGTAGCTCGGCGGCCTGGCGGATCTGCGTCCAGTCGATGCTGTGCAGCGCATCGTACTTCCTGTCGCGAGCCGCGGCCCGCTGGTCCTGCTGGTAGACCGCCGCGACCGTCATCTCCGCCACGTGAGGCTCCTGCGCGTCGCTGGTCTCGTGCGTGGCGATGTTCGTCCTGTTGCTTCCCTTCTTCGGGATGTCGGCCTTGGCGTTAGGGTCGTTCTTCTTCGAGCACTGCGGGTCACCGCGCCAATGGCCCTTCTGGCCGCATGCGCCGCAGTGTGTCCTGGCCTTCATCTTGGCGATCTTGGGCTCGTCTCTCTTCGGCGGGTTGCCGCCGTCGCGCTTGGCGAAGTAGCCACGCGCCTGTTTCGCCTCCTTCAGCTTGTCCTTGGCGCGCACCTGCTCCTCCGCCTCGTCGATCACGTCCTGCAGCTCGTCGGGCAGCTCGTCCTCGTAGTCGTCGGGGCTGTCTGAGGACGCGCCGTCGAGCTCGGCCCTACGATCCTCCTCGGAGGTCTCCGTGGCGTACGCCCGCTTGTGGTCCTTGTTATTGTGACCTCCGTAGCCTCCTTTGTCGTGGCTGCCCTTGTTGCCGTCCACGACCGATACCTTGGGCAAGTTGATCATCAACTGCTCCTGGACCGTTGAGCACGCTCGCCGCGCGCTCCGGGGGCAGGCGGGCCCTCATGATGTACAGGTCCGCCAAGACCTCGTCGGGCACTTGGATGCCCTTGGCCTTCAGCGTGGTGGCGATCCCATTGAAGCGGTTGTTGTAGTCGCGGATCTCCTCGTACCTGTGCCGGACGCAGGCCGGGCGCACGAAGGTCTCCAGCGGCGCTGGGGTCTCCAGCGCTTCGATCTCGGGAAAGCGCTTCCCGAGGTACTCCAGGAACACCTCCACCGAGTTGTCGCCCTTGATGGCGTCCAGGTCGAGCTCCTCGCACGCCTCCTCGGCCTTGCCCTTGAGGCTGGCCAGCAAGGTCGCTCCCTGCTTGGGCGGCTTGACCTCGGTGCCGATCTGCCAGGTGGCGACCTCTCGGCGGTGCTTCTTCATGGTCTTGCTCGTGCCATCGAAGACGGGTACGGGGATCTTGCCCCCGTTGCTCTTGTCCTCGCCGCTGGCTGCAGCGGCTCCTCCTGTCGCCATGATGGCGACCCCGAATGAGAGGTACAGTCGCAATGACACGAGCCTGTAGTGCTTGCTCAATGACTCTGCAAAGTCGCGCACGTAGCTGCCGTGGTCGAGTTAGCTCCTGCTACCAATGCAGACCCAATGCTGCGTGAGGGGTCTGAATGCGATGATAACCGCGAGGTTGTTATTGTCCGCAATGACGTAAACTTATCTGCGAATATGTCAGCAATGATAGGCGATTGATGTTGCTTAGCGGCACCTGCGAGGTGTCTACCGATACGCCCAAGCTCAAGGGCCCTTGAAGGATTGAGCCCAAATAGTTACGAAAGAGCATATGCCTGCTGGCATGCTATGCTACATTGCTTACAGATCAGCACTGACACTATTTGTTTTACATCCCCTCCTCCTCGTCCTCCTCCTCGTCCTCCTCCTCGTCCTCCCCTCCTCCTCCTCCTCCTCCTCCGCGTCCTCCTCCTCCTCCCCTCCTCCCCTCCTCCTCCTCCTCCTCCTCCTCCTCCTCCTCCTCCTCCTCCTCGCGCCCTCCTCCTTCCCTGCGGGGAGCGGCGCACTCCGTGCGGCCGAAAAGCGTGCAGATTTCTGGTACGAGCTCTGGTGCTCGCGCTCCGAGCGTTCCGGCCAGCTCGCCCTCCTGCTGCGTGCGCTTTCCATATCTCACGAGGGAAAAAAACACACAGACACAATTAATCGTCGCCCCCCAGGAAAAGATGGGAAAATATGGGAAGTGGGGGGGAAGACAAAAACCCAGAACATATGTGGAAATATGGGGAATCTTTTTAATTGTGTGTATTTATTTGTGTGTCCTGGGGCCCTTTCCATATCACCGAAAGTTGCTCGGGATCTTGTGTGATTCGGGCGCCATCAATTCATAACATGCCCGCAGGCCCTTTTGTTCGAGCTGCGCTGGAGGAAACGAGCCCCAATACACGCTCTCCCCACGCATCCGCGCAACTCCCGCCACGGTAGCGGGGCGCGGTTCCGGCCAGCTCACCCTGTTGTTGCGTGTGCCTTCCACATCACCGCAAGTGGCTTCAAGTTCCCTCGCTTTGCTTCCAGTGTGCCTCCTGGTGAGATTTACGCCGATACGCTTTGGGGGTAGACAGAACCCCCGACAGTGACACGTCGATTAGCGAATTGGCCGTTTTCGGTTCGCGAGGGGCGTCGCGGCCGTCATTTTTGCGGATCCAGGTCCGCCAGTTTCGGTCCCAGACCGCTTTCATTGAGGGGAGGTTTGCTAAAGGGAGGTTTGTCCATTGCGATATCACCGAAAGTGGTTTCAAGTTCCCTCGCTTTGCTTCCAGTGTCCCCCCCTGGTGAGATTTACGCCGGTGCGCTGGCGGACGGATTGGCCGACGAGAGCGCGTCCAGAGCCGAGATCCCGCCGGATGTGACGGACCGCGCCTTGGAAATTTTGGAGCAAGCCGAGAGCACTCTTGTCAGGCATGCCTCACGCTGTATTGCAGGCGCTTCGGTTCCAACGGACCCCAGTCGAGTCATCAAGCGCGACCCTCTTTCGAGGGCCTCGAAGAGGGCCGTGGCGGTCCAGCGAGCAGTTGAGGCTTCCACCCATCGCTGGAAGAACTTTCCACGGGGATGGAGCCGTATGTTGTGTGGCAAGCTGGTCGTTTGTGGCCACAATCAGATCATCCCCAGGCTCGGCTCCAGGTGTGCTGCCAGGAAATTTGCCTTTGCCTGAGCCCCCATCTGGAGCTGGCGGACCTGTTCAGATAACGTGCATTCGATTGCCTCGAGGGTTTGAGGCGCTCTGGCTCTTCGACGAGCAGCTGTTTCGCTCTGGATCCCCCCTCCAGGTTCGGCAGCTTCGGATGGAACTGGCCCTTCTTGCGATGCTCGCATGCGCTGTGGCAGAAAGGCGCATGTGTCTTCTGCGGTTCCCGTGCCCGTTGCCCCGATGTCGCTCCGAGGAAAATGCTGGAGGCGCGTGAGTCGGTCGTTTTGGGCCATCATTCGGTGGCCACCATCATCTCCCAAAAAATAGTAGAGTACGAGTAGTTTCGCGGACCAGGCTCGAGTAGCAGAGCGAGTTCAGACCTCTGGATGTTTCAGACGAGCGCGCCTGATGATTCTGAATCGATCACGTGTGCATGCCAGCTCTGTGGCTTCCCTACAGCTCGAGTTAAGAACAGAAAACCTGCCATCTTGCGGGTTAGGAAACGTCTCCCTCCCCGTGCTGGGGTCAAGAAGCGGGGAGCGACGCCAGAGGCCTGCGACCGAAGCACGGTCGCAGTCTTGGTCCGCTGATTATTCCAAGCTCTGTCCGCGGAGGTTTCTCAGTTTTGCCTCGTTACTCCAGATTTCGTAATAAAAGGGAGGGGGTCTCAACCCTCCCAGACGAGAAGTTTTAGACCCCCCCCCGTGGGAGAACCCTCCAAAACATCGTCCCCAGACTCCCCCAGGCCCTCCAAGATAGCCTGGAAGAGACCCCCCCTGAAATGAGACC